CGCACACGCACACGCACACGCACACGCACACGCACACGCACACGCACACACACACGCACACACACACACACACACACACACACACATATGCGCGCGCGCGCATATTTGACAGAGGACACTGACTCCTGTAACACAGGTTATACCTAGCTCCGGTGTAACTATTTTGTAACAATAAACATTATTATTATTATACGAATACGTGCGTTCGTACACGGCACGCGGCGCGGGAGCGCATACGTACAAGTCACGCTGCTACGTTTGTATGGTTTTACCATAGTTATCTTTTTATACCATGGCTTAAGCCTCTGCTATCATTGGAAATAGTATTGTTACTCGATCAGTTCAAGTGGCTTCCCAATCATCTTTGCAGGAATTATTTAATCATATTTGAAGGATAAATTTAAGATTTAATATTTTACATAACCCTGTATCCCCCGCATATCTGAAAGAGCGTTTCAGCTTTCTTAGATGCCAGGATAAACCCTGTTGATCTCTTGTTAGGTACCAGTTAACTTTTCCGTCTTTCAATTCCGGTTTCTATCCCCATTCCTTCACGGTTCATGCGGCCAGAATATGGAACGCACTTCCTGTTTCCGTTCGCGAAAGTAAAGCGTTAGCTATTTTCAAAATTAAAGTTAAAGAGCATTATTTATGAATACTCCATCCATTTCTTAGTTATTATATTGTAACATATATATTTATTGAAGAGATTGTCATGGTTTACAAATTAGGGTGCTTAATTTTGTGAGTTGTGAGTCGCATTGTCTGATTCTCGTAGTTTACGTTCGACTGAAATGCGGTTGGGGCGCCAGACGTATGTATTTTATTCAGTTGCATCCAATACTAAAGTAGCCACTTCCCTCACCTCTTCCTCCACCCGCAGCACACCGTCACACGGTGCGAATGAAATTCAGTCGTAATTACGCGAGTGAGTCGGCAAACAACTCATTTGTGTCATCGTATGGAACAAACCGGACTTTTATATGAAACCGAATGCAACATAGAGTACACTACTTAAATAACGCGACTCACATTTCACAAAATTACGCTCGTCTGACCTCAGTCTTAAAGTCATTGTTATGATATAGTTTTTATGTTACATACATTTCTATTGTTGTGCACGTAAGCCCGTTTATTTTAGTTATTGTGTCCGTTACTTAAATCTGGGAGAAATATCTTTAAGAAATAAACAGAAACTTACGTTTGTGTTTTACTTTTGTTATATGTGTCTATGTCCTGGCCAATAAATGATTAAATAAGTAAATTGTTCTTTTATTTTTAATTTTAAGTGACGGGACGAACAAGTCGTGTGCCTGATGGTAAGTTGCAGCAGGCGTGCGCCTGTCCATAACAGTTGCAGTGCCACTCAGGGCTTTAAAACACGAAGAAATGAGGGGCACGCTGCGCCCGTTACCCTGAGACATAAGTTGACCCTGTTGAGTTGAAGCCCCGTGTGCCTGTAATCTCAACAGCTCCCTTACTCTTCAAAACCGGAACATATTACTGCTTGCTGGCAGAAATAGGTAAGGGGCAATTATTGCCACCTTGGAAGGATTGGAAGGAACTCTTACACAAGGAGCTCTATTACTACTAAAATTGTGGGCCAAGGTAACCACCTAGTGGAGCCCCAGACCGAGAAAGCTATGGTGTGACGAACTGGACGCCTACGATAAAGCTTGGGTCCAGTTAGCTCAGGATCGGGACGCATGGGAGTATCAGGGGGAGCCCTTTGCCCAGTGGCATACATCTGGGTAATTGTAAGTAAATTGTAAAATAGACTTAAGAACAATTTTTTCGTTTGTCTACAGGATGTGGTCGTTCTGGCGCGCGTGGAGCTTGACGATGTATGCGTGCGCTGTGCTTGCTCAGCGCATCGACCAGGAACCGCTGCTGTCGCCGCGGCCAGCACGGGTCCGCGACCGCGAGCTCGCCAAGCCCGATGAGCCAACTTGCGATCAGCTCAAGGCTATGTGGAGGTAAGACAGTCTAATTACGACAATTTATTCAAAGTAACCGGTTTAACATTCTGGACACTACAGGAGAATAGGGCCAGATGAAGAGGGCCCTGATGGTCCGTAATATATTTTTATAGGCATTTGCCTGTCCGACCTAGTGTAGTAACGATGTTTAATTACCAAAACATATTGTTTCCAATCGAAAATTGTATTTTTAAGTGTGGTAGGATTTTGACTATGACTATTTGAGTACAAATTATCCACGGATAATTTGCCAATGTAATAATATGTCTCTCTATACAAGAAAACCAACAAATTCCATCTAGAGAGGGGTGTCAGACAGGGAGACACAATATCACCAAAGTTGTTTACCCTAGCACTAGAATGCATATTCCAACAGATGCAGTGGACTGGGGAAGAGTTGTTGATTGATGGAGAGAGACTTACCAATCTGAGGTTTGCTGACGATCTGGTTCTGGTTTCTGAAAGCATCGAGGATATGCTGACGATACTAGAGGATTTGAAGATGGAATCTGAAAAGACTGGTCTTAAAATGAACATTAGGAAAACCAAGATCATGACCAAACTACCAGCTTCCGGTGGAGAAAGTGGCCGAATATATATACATGGGACATAAGGTTACACAGGGCTTTGAGAACCAAACAGCGAAAAAATGGCGTGGCGTGGGCTGCATTCGGTGCCAACAAACCATCGCTACGCGGCAAAATACCCGTAGGGTTATTTGAGATCTCAAAGTTAAAGTTTTCGAACAGTGTGTCATGCCCGTGCTCGTCTAAGGTACGGAAACCATGACTCTTACAAAGAAGTCCGCCAAGAGATTCCGAGTTGCGCAGAAGAGCATAGAGAGAGCAATGCTTGGAGTTACCCTGCGAGACCGAAAAAGCAACGCTTGGATCCGAAATAGGACCAAAGTTAAAGATGTCATAGCTGTCGTGGCGAAAAAAAGGTGCCCGTGTGCGGGGCACATTGCGAGAATGGGCGAGAGGCACTGGACAAGGCCAGTACTTGAGTGGAGACCCAGAGCGGACATCAGAAGGCGCGGCAGATCACTGCAGCACTGGTTGGATGACATCGAACGACACCGAGGTCGGGACTGGATTAGTCGGGCACAAGATCGCCAAGAGTGGAAAAAGAGGGTAGAGGCCTACATCCAAGATTGGATAATAAAACGGCCGCCATGATGATGATAATGTATTTGCCAATGTTACCGATAATTTTTGTATATAAAAATATTTCACTAAAATGTGATTTTTATTGTGGTTTATAAAATGGCACTATGGATTCAATGTTTCCCCTTTTTTTAATGGTTTAATAGTCAGTTAAATTGCACCATTAGTCTGAAGATCACTCGAAAACAAAATTTTGTCTCGACCCACATACAGAATAGATATTACTTTCGCAATGAAACGGAAATGTCTAAATAAATCCGCTCAGGTCTGACAGTTCTATTGCGTGCCGTTGAAATTGTGAGTATTGAGTATTATTATGGATACAAAGATCGAATAAATACAAAGAAAAAATCTTTGATCTCACTCGACTCAAACCAGTGTCTGTTGCCTAAGGGTGTTCCCATTATGTCGTGACGACGGTAACCTGTCACAAACTCGAATTTTTTTTCCGAAATAACGTTTGTTCGAATTTTCATTACACCGAAAACCGAATTATAACTAAACCGTTGTTCTTTCAGGATATGTTGGATGTTTACCGCAAAGACACAATTATATTCGGTTAGGTTAGGTTATGTTAGGTTTAAAAGAAAAAACATTGTCCTCTCAAAATTACTTTCGAGGTTATGAAAATTCGAGCAACCGTTATTTCTGGAAAATGTCATTTCGGACTACTGACAGGTAACCCGTGATGACAGATCGTGCAATTTAAACTGTCGTGACTTTGTATATTTAAATGAAATTGTTCACATACAGTACACGATTAACTGTCGTTCACGACTTTTTTAACGTTACGACTACAGACTGTCGTGGCAATGGTACACCCCGGACACTCCACACAACGCGCAACGGTCGAAAATTATTTATCTACTACAACTACATACAGCAAGGCGCTATCTGCACACGCGCAAATGTGTGCATGAAGTGGCAGGGTTACCCATCACTTTCTTGCACTATTACGTTACGTGAACAGAGCGGCAACATAGCGAAAATGCTAACGCGAATCTGTTATCTATGATTCTATTAATAAGTATGTATATCGATATAATATCATATTTTTCATTAATTCACTAACTAGAGTAATAATATTGAAGATATTTATTTAAAAAATACATTAAAAGCCCTTAAAATGGTATATTTTGGACATGTACTTTTAAATAAGGTAACCAAGTTATTTGAAATTGCGTGTCCAAGTTGATCATCATTATTTAGTAATAATTAGGTATATTCACTACTTACGTAATATTTATCAGCAATACGAATTGAAAATTCGAGAAGTCTACGAAGTCATGGCGCCTCATTAGATTGATATAATGATTATTATGTATAAAAAATACAGATACTCTGCAGTAAATAAATTAAGAAAACAATAACTGAATGAGTCCCATACATAAGTTTTTTTTATTACTTCGTTTCTCCTTTCGGAAAATGATGATAAACAGCCATACACAGCACAAATCACGACCATTATAAATAATAACGTAAAATGATGTTTTATATTAACGTACAATTTTCGTAATGAATAAATGAAAACTATATTCAAATATCATAGACGTCTTCACACGAAAACGGCTCGCCGGCAGCCTTGTGGTCGTTCAGTCAATGTGACCGGCAATGTGCGGGGCGTGGTGCGGTATCTAAAGCTAGGGAGGGGCGGAGAGTGTCCGTTCTCTTTACTTTTTGTTCTCTGGCAATGGGAAGGGCTAGAACGACTGTCGGTCGTCGGACAACAAATAAAACATCACGACAAACAATGTGACAATAGATAGATAATTACTTCTGCCGCCAAGTTCCGGTTTTGAAGGGTAAGGGTGAAATTACAGGCACATGGGACTTGTCAACTTATGTTTCAGGGTGACGGGCGCAGTGGCAGTGCCAGTCAGATCTTTAAATCTTTAAAATCTTTTAAACCTTTTAATCTTTTGAGTCTTTTGAGTCTTTCGAGTCTTTCGAGTCTTTCGAGTCTTTCGAGTCTTTCGAGTCTTTCGAGTCTT